CCCCACGACCGACAAAAAAAAAAAAAGAAGAAGAAAGGTTAAAGAATGAAGGCAAAGAAATCTCCCAGACATGAATGATGTAGCTAGCAAAGGGGAGACCAGAGCAGGAAGTTGGACATGAAGGAGGAAACGGAAGAGGAGCAATCATTACAAGAGAGGGAAGAAAGGAGGGGCTGCTGGCACGTGGGGGAGGGGAATGGATAGACATCCCAACTAAACTCACTGGAGAAGGCGCTGTCTCGAAGGCCAGAGCTGCTGGGCCCAGGGGCAGAGGGGCCGGCAGGGTTGGTGGCTGGGGTGCTGTCAGGTAAGACTACCCTGGGAAGAACAACAGAGAGGGTGAGGGAGGATTCTGAGCCTCAGCCCTGCCCGCCCTTCCCCCACCCAGGTCACTCACAGGTAGCCCGCCTCATTGGGGTAATCATTCTCATCTTCATCTTCTTCCTCATCCTCACATACTGGCTCTGAGGTAACGACACGGGGATCAGCATGGCCCAGCACGGGCCTCAGCTCCCTACCCAGCCGAGTACCAGGGATCCTGGACGCACCCTGGTTCTCATAGCTGGCCACGCTGTTGGCTTTGGAGACAGAGCAAGAGGAACACTGTGTCAGCTCCCGCCAGCCCTCTCTTCTGCCCAGCCTCAGCCCCCTCAAACCCAGAACCCCCTCCTTACCACCATCTGAGTCCTGCTGGGGAGATGGCAGCCGATGGGAAGCCCCGAAGGGCTGTGGGGACCTTCTGGGAACCAAAGATCAGGCATCAGATCTAGGTAAGGGGCTGGTGGGGGGAGGATTGAGGGGTTCCCATAGAGAAAGAGCCCTCTCCCCAATCCAAGAAGGTAAGGGGCAGCCTGGATCTGGAGGAAGAGGGGGTACTCACGGGATGGGGAGCTGGTCTGGTCGGGTCAGGGGTGGGTAGGAGATCACAGGCGGGTAAGAGGTCACGGGTAGATAGTGGGCAGGCGGGTCTGAGGACAGAGCCATGCTTGAGTGGGAGACTCCAGGCATCAGCAAAGATTCTAAGGACAGCTTTGTCCCCAGAAAACCAGGCCCCAGACAGGCCTGAGGACTCCCACCTCCCCCTGACACCAGCCATGTGGGGCCTGGGATGGGGGCTGCAAGCGGGTACTTGATACTCTGACATGATGCCCCCCGTCCCCCACATGCAAGATGGGTAAGAGAAGCCTCAGTACTCACGGGGTGGTTTGATCAGGATGCTCCGTGGGTACAAACTGGCAGGAGAGAGACAGATTAGACACAGGGTAGAGCAAGGCGCAGGTCCTACCCCACCCTGGGTCCAGGAGAGACTCACCTGTCTGCAGAATCCATGTCGTTGGAAACTGTGGGAAAAGAGAGCCAGTGAGCCTGGGAGGACCAATGCCATGTCCGCCCCCCCTCACCATGCTCATCCCCCACTCCCGTACCCAGTGTCTGCCAGCTCCCCACTTACCGGGCAGCTCTCGGCAGCGAGCACACAGTGCGGCCAGCAGTGTGGTCAGGACGGGCAGCAGCAGCAGGCCCAGCGCGAAGGGAGTCAGGCCGTTGGTCTCCATCTGCAGGAGACCCTGCGCCAGGCCCAGCTGCACAAAGGCCCGGGGGCCAGCCTGGGGCCTGGTGGGAGAGGTCGGGGCACCTTCAAAAGTGGAGGACTCGCTCCCTGGCTGGATTGAGCAGGGTGAACAGTGGTTCAGGAAGATCCCGGTGCCTGCTGGGGGTCAGGCGAGGCCTGGAGCTGGGACTCGAGCGCTACCCACCCTGTGCGAGTCCCATGCCTGCCCCTCACTGGAGCCCTCTCCTCCGCGCAGCCCGCCCGCCCATCTGTGGCAGGAAGCTGTGGCGAGGCCGGGTGAGGGCAGGAAATCATCGCTCCTCAGCTGGCTGCGCCGCCCCTGCCCGCCCCCCACCCAGCCCTGGGAAGGGGGTGGCGGGGAGGCAGCTCTCAGGGATGGTCCACAGACAGCTGCACGAATGGAGGCCAGCTGGGGTCGGGGGGAGTGCCCAGCCAGGGGGTGGCAAGATGCTAAGATGGGCTGTACCCACCTTCCCAGGCCTATCTGCAGGGAGGGGCAGGTGTCTGAGGAGCGCGGGCGTGAGTCAGGGTCACAATGAACCAGCTCACTGGGCGAGCAAGCCTCCCTGTGTCCAGCTGGCTCAGAGGACAGGGACTAGCCCACAGGGGCAACCCTGAGACAGGAAATGGGGTATCCCCCTACCACCCACAGGTCACACACAAGCCCAAAGAGAAGCGAGCACTCGATGGCTGGCTACAAATTTTATTCCATTACAAATAGCACCGAGCCCCTGGGGCTGTACCGGTGAAGGGGATCCCCTCCTGGCCCTTCATTCCTCCCCTGGGCTGCCTGTGTAGTGTCTGGGAGCCGGACATGCCCACACGGCCAGGCTTCCTCCTGAAGCTGGGTGGGCCGAGCGCTTCAGCCAGGCACAGCGTGGGGTGGCCCCGGGGCCAGCAGCAGCAGGTGTGCAGGCAGGCGAGCGGTGGCATCTCAGACGAGCACACTGGACACAGGGACACGTGTGGAGCGGCCTCTCTGGGGCACCACGATCCGGTCATCCGTGGACCCTGCCTCACGTAACACACCTGCAGGGAGGGGTGAGAGCCAAGGGCTGGGTGCGCGGAGCGAGCCTCGGAGCACGCTGGACAGACAGCCCCAAAGCTGAGTGAGGGCAGGCCAGGCACAGGTCTGGACAGATGGACAGGCAGGCAGGCAGGGCTGGGGTAGGGGCCTAACTGACCCTGTACGTGGAGCTGGGCCCGCCGGCGGTCACCCTCGATGAAGATGGCGGTGCCCAGGAAGGCCGCGCCGCCCAGGGCCCCGACGAAGGCGCACAGCATGAGCGAGAACTGCAGGGCGCGGAACTGGGACAGGAAGGAGGGGGGCCAGCTCCGGCGCAGGCGGTCGGAGATCTGTGGGCATCACCAATGACGGCCAGGAGAGAGTTAGAAAGACACAGGCCGGAGCCAGGAACGTGGAGTCCCGATGCCAGAAGGGAACGGGGTATGGACCACAAGGTGAGGTCCCGGCCTCGGGCGGGGGAGGGGAGCAGTGATCGATGACCAGAGACCATCCTTCTATCAGCAGAGTGCTGCAGGGAGGAGCACCAAGGACAGCCAGCTGGGGCCAGACCCCAGCCCCAGTCCCGCCCCGCCCCGTCCCAGCCAGGTCTCACCAGGCCGATGAGGTAGGGGCTCCCAGCATCACCCAGCAGGTGGGATAGCACGATCTGGAAGGCCTCGGCGGTGGAGCGACGAGTAGGGATCACCACGTACTGCGGGGAGTATGGAGCTCAATCAGGGTCCAAGGCGGCAGGGGACGGGGGCAGGAATAGGGCCAAGGCTGAGGTCCTAACCCTGCAAATGGTGCCTCCTGACTCCCAGTCTCTGCTCCCAGCAACCTCTGGGCTAAGCCTGCAGCTGCCCAGCCACTCACCAGGAGAATGTCAGCCACGATGGCCCAGTTCATGGACAGCAGCATCTCTCCAATGAAGATGAAAATCTGCGAGGCGAGAGGATGGGGCACTCACGTGAGAGCGCACCCCGCAAGAGGCTCATCCACAACCGCAGGCCCAGGCTGTGATTCAGAACCAGGCATGCAGTGGGCCAAGGTGGCTCACGCCTGTCATCCTAACTGCTCAGGAGACTGAGATCTGAGGATCACAGTCCAAAGCCAGCCCAGAGTCCATAAGACTCTTATCTCTCAATTAGTGAGCAAAAAGCCCAAACTGGAAGTGTTGTTCAAGTGGTAGAGTACCAGCCTTGAGCATAAAAAGCTAAGGAAGGGTGCAAAGGCCCTGAATTCAAACCTTAGTACTGGCGCGTGAGTGTGCATGCACACACGTGCACACACATACACACCACTCAGAACCAGGCATTCCACCTTGAGAGGACTGAACCACTCGGCCAAGCTGACCTTAGCTCTGCTCTCTGCATGGTCCTCCCCTGGCCTCAGATCAGCCTCGGCCCCTGCTGGCTACTTACATAGGTGGCCACGATGCTTCCGCGGGCGCTGGCGAGGGACAGGAAGAGGAAGGGTGCAGAGCCCAGCAGGCCGGCGGCACAGACCAGCGGGTCAGCCCGGGGATTGGAGTGACGGAGGCGGCGGCTGATCTCCACACCCAGGCCCACACCCAGGACCCCGGTCAGGCAGGTGATGAGCCCAAAGATGAGACTAGGGGCGAGTGGGGACACAGGAGCTAGTCACCATGCTTGTGACACCCCAGCCTGGACCCCCTGGCCAGGAAAGGAAGATGCCTACATTCACCCAGAACAGCAGCCCTTTGAGGACTTCCCAAACCTGGAAAAACTGAAGATTTTGAGTACAAGTAGCTGGTGGTGGAGTCGAACCTCTCTCTGCCCAAGTCACACTCAAAGCCCTCCCTGCCACCTGCCCAGCCCCACCTGGGTACCTGTCAGAGGAAGAGCAGGAGTCTCCGGGCAAGCAGGGTGGGGTCTCTCCCAGGACCACCCGGGCACGCAGCAGGAACGCAGGGGCCCAGAGAGCCAGGGAGCCCGTGACAAAGGCCACAGCAGTGAAGCCCAGGGAAGACAGGATGAAACTCGGACTGTGGACAGTTGGAAGGATGTCAGACCCGTAGGACAACCTGCCTTTTCCCTCGGTTTCTTTGATAGAGTCAGAGCAGTGGGTATAAAGACTTGGGAGGACTCTAGGATTTGGACTTGTAATTCGGGAAGCAGCCACAAGGGGGCAGCAGTGTCTATTTCCTAGGCTATCAGACAGGGCCTCCCACGGGGCAGCAGGCTAGAGATTAGCAAAGGATTAAACTCACTTTCTAGCCAAAGCCCTCAAATCTGCCCACCATGAGGTGGGGCTCAGGGGTGGAGAATCTGAGTGACGCTCCACAGCTCCGCGGGGCGGCTCCCGTACTACCAGGAACAGCAGCAGAACGGCCACGACTCCCAGACCTGGTGTGACCTGGGGGGCGGGAGGGGAGAGAAGACACGAGTGAATTTGGGCATGAGAGGGGAAATAGCCCCTGGGAGCTGGAGGAGGACCTCAGGCCCCAGGAACTCCAACTCCTCTGTGTGCTGAACCTGTGCTGGGAAAGTGGAAGCTGTCACCTTAGTTTTGCAAGCCGAACTTTGCCCTTTGGTAACAACACTTGATTTTCTTCCAGGAAACCACAACTCCACATTTCACGCAACCCACTGTCCAAATAGGATCCCAGACTCGGCCAAGGGTGGCTTGGTGACTGAGGTCATAGTAAGCATATGACCCTTCCCTGCTCAGACAGCAGCACCCTGTGACTACTGCCCAAAGAAGCCTCGTTACTTAATCGAAAAGTCTAGCACTTGGGACTTTCGCACATTTAAGAATGGAGCCAACACAGAGGTAAACAAAGCTGAGAATGGCCGAGGTCTGCTGACAGTGTGAGAGCCCTGGATCCAGCCCTACCTGAAGCTCACCCCGACCCTGTGCCCTTTGGGACTTAAGAGTTTTACAATGGGCTCCAATTCCAATCACCCGTGAGGCAGGAGCTGGGGGTCTGGTCAGCACGGCCATACAAAGGGGGCCATGAATGTCAGAAAGGGGGACAGGTAAGGAACTGGCTTTCACCACGCCACCACCAGACTCACCCTCAGAGCCCAGTGCCAGTCCCCAGCCACATCCTTCACTTTGGAGCCTGCTATGTAACCCAGACCACTGAATGGAGGCAGAGGAGAAAAAGAGGGGACTTCAGGTCAGTCAGGTGCTCTGCTCAGGTCCTCTCCTCCCCCCCCCCCAACCTGGCCCCCAAGGCCACTCACCTGCCCACTGGGATGGCGAAGTAGAAGACGCTGAGCATTCGGCTCCGCTGGTCTGCCACGAAGAGGTCGGCGATCAGAGTGGGCGCAATGGTGGAGTAACTGGCCTCCCCGACCCCCACCAGGCCCCGGGTCAGGAGGAGCAGCCAGAAACGCTGGGGAAGGAGACACGGGGAGGGGGAGGTGGCACCCCGCCCTGGAGCCAGCCTCCCAGCCAACCTCACCAGCTGGTGCCAGAGAGATGGCAGGGAACAGCAGAGGGGCCTGGGTTTAGAATCAAGACAGACCTGGCTGGAATCTTGGCTCCACTACTTACTAGCTGTGACTTTGAGAAAGTAACTTAACCTCTCTGAGCCTCAGTTTCCTCATCTGCAAAAGGGGAATAACAACAACTTGTTCACAAAGCTACCAGGAGCCCTGTATCGTCAAACATCAATTCATTACCCAGCACTCAACTGGGACAAAATAAACCTTTGTTTCTACCTTTCCCTCTCCATCCAATACAGCCTAATGGTGAATAATATATAGATATATTTTTGGCAGGGGGGGGGAGGTTATTTATCTATCCACATCACCTGCAGCTAAGGCTGGGGTGAGATCACCTTCGCCTAAGGCCAAGGACAGAGCCGGGAGCATAGTGAAAGCAAGTGGAGATTTCAAAGGAGCAAAGAAGCAGCCAGGAGGGGAAGCCGTGGGTGGCGGCGGTGGCTTTGCCGAGTTACAAGAGCATTTCGGGAAGAAACGGGCGGTGGGCTGGAGGATCCCAGGTCATGTAGCAAGAGCAGGACTAGAAGCACTAAAGCAGGAGCTGCATTGAGCAATCAGGAGGACACTGTTGACTTTGGCAAGAGCAGGTCCGATGGAGGGGCAGGGGCAGAAGTCAAAGCCGCTGAGGAAGTGCAGGCCGAGTGGGGGCTGGGCCCGTGCCAGCACTGAGCTCCAGAGCCTCTCAGGAAGTGTGACCAGGAAGGGAGGGGGGGGGGCAGTCCAGGTAGGGTTTTGCATGGCTGAGAAATGGGAGTATTCAGGAATGGAATTGGAGAGAGGGGACACAGAAGGAGGTTCTGGAAGAGGATTCGGTGGGCGTATTAGCTCAGGGCAAGGGGGTAAGGTAGCATGGACCAAGGAAACTGCAAGGGATTTCCCAGGTGCAGTCCGAAATGACCAAAAGGAAAAGCAAAGACTGATGGGGAGGGGGATGGGAGTGGCCATGGAGCCAGCTGGGGCCTCACCTCTCTGGGGATGAAGGATGACCCCAGTGTCACCAGGGACCAGAAGGCAATGCCCCCGCACATGAGATACTTCCGATTGTACCTGTCACCCAGGTAGCCAAACACAGGTGCCAAGACCATGTAACTGGAGATGAACACTGAGGGGAAGCAGAGAGTCACAGCCAGCCCAGGGCCCCTGGCCCCTCCCCCACCCCAGCTGTGGGGGTCAGGATGCAGCAATGACTAGAGCACAGAGGTCCCGATGGTCCTCAGTGACCCCACACTGCCCCTCAGACCCGCCCAGCACCTCCTCACAGCTTCCAGAGCAAAGCCCAGCCCCATCACCAGCAGCTTCCTTTGTAGCTGACATGTAGCTGCCTTCCACCCAGCCCAGAACAAAAGCTACACCATGGGCCATGATGCCCCATCCGATCCAGCCCTTACCTGAGCCTCTGACCTCATAAGCATCCATTTTCCCTTTCTCTCTGCACCCCATAGGCCCAACTACCAAGGTCAACAGTGACGTAGGAGGTTGACACTTGCTGTCTGAGTCTCTCAGAGCTTGGCTCCTTCAGATTCAGCTCAGACACATGCACAGAGCACCCACCTCGTGTCCCTGTCTATCATATTAACTCTGTTTTCTTTTACATAACATCCCTATAGAAAGTCATCTTAAGGCTGGCACCAGTGGCTCACGCCTATAATCCTAGCTACTCAGGAAGCTGCGATCTGAAGATCGTGGTTCACAGCTAGCCTGGGGAAGGAAAGTCAGTGAGACTCTCTCATCTCTAATAAATGACTCAGAAAAAGCTAGAAGTGGTGCTGTGGCTCAAATGATAGAGCGCTAACCTTGAGCACAGAAAGGCTCAGGGACAGAGTCCAGGCCCTGAGTTCTAACCCCAAGACCAGCAAAAAAAGAAAAAGAAAGAAAAAAGAGTGAGAGTCTTATCTCCAATAAACTATCAAAAAGTTGGAGGTGGAGGTGTGGCTCAAGTGGTAGAGTACCAGCCTTGAAAGAAAAAGCTAAGAAAGAGTAAAAGGGCCCTGAGTTCAAGCCCGAGTACTGGTGCGCACACACATGCACAGAGCCATTTCATTTTTTCTTTTTCTTTTTTTTTTGTTGGTTGTGGGGCCTGAACTTGGCCTGGGCGCTGTCCCTCAGCTCTTCAGCTCAAGGCTAGCGCTCTACCACTTGAGACACAGTGCCACTTCTGGCTTTTTTCTGCTTATGTGGTGCTAAGGAATCGAACCCAGGGCCTCAGGCATGCAAGGCAAGCACTCTACCACTGAGCCACCTTCCCAGTCCCAGCAATTTCATTTTAACTGAGAGGTTTACTGACCCACTCCTGCTCAGGAGAATGTCAACTACACAAAGCTCTTATTGGTCATGACTGCAATTTCCTGACACAACCTAGTCCAAAAAAGGGGCTCCATCAACATGCTTTAATGAAGAGGAAATAAATGGGGGTATCTAGAAAGGTTTGCTGCTTCTAACTCACCAAGTCTGTGCAGCTTTGCAACCTTGACCTATAGTCCCATTTTCCTTCCTTAGGACTAAAAACCTCCAGTTCCTCATTGGGCAGGAGTACACAACAGGCATTACAAGATTTGGTTTCAAATTCCTCTTCTACCTCTGAATGGCTGTGTGGCCCAGGGCAAGACTACTATCTCTGAGCCTCAGGTTCTTTATAAAAACAAAAATAAGTAGAGTAACACCCATTCCTCAGTGGCAGGATCTAGACAACGATGTCTTAGGAAGTACTGATTCAGACCTGAAACACTAGCTAGGCTGAGATTAACCCAGGCAGACAAGTCCACGAGACTCTCCTCTCCAATTAACTAACAGAATGCCAGAAGTGGAGCTGTGGCTCAAGTAGTAGATGACCAGCCTTGAGTGAAAATGCTAAGAGATAGTGCCTAGGTCCTGAGATCAAGTTCTAGTACACACACACACACACACACACACACACACACACACACACACACACGCACACACACACACACACACACACACGCACACACGCACACACACGCTGACAACAGTATCTTGCCCAAGTCCCACAGCTGTTATCAACACTTCCTCCAGGGCCTAACACATAGTTGGTGCTCAGAAACATTTGAGAAAAAGGAGAAAAGGAAAGAAAAAGGAGACTTGGCTCTGGTCTCCTCCACCACCCCAAAGTTCTGAACAAGTAAACCCTTTTCCCATTCAGATACCTTTTCTAGCCATCATTTCTAAGTGCCTACCTACCATGTGCCAAATATTATATGAGACATTTTCTAGGCATGATTTCATGTGGTCCCCACATCAGCCCTAATAGATGACCTGTGTTACTAGCTCCACCTTGCAAACTAGGGTACAATGGAGTGGCGAGCTGAGATTTAAACCTAAGTGCTAAGCACTTCTCTAAATGGAACTTATCTTTAAATTCAACCGCCTGCCTGAACACGACAGCACCAGAGCAAAGCCAGGACCCTCCCCCTGCTTTCTGAACACTAAACCCTCATGAGCCCCAGGCCTCATTATGTGGTACCAATTGAGGCCACACATAGGTTAAGAGCTACTGTGTGAGCAGGCGCGTCCTCTCACCGGTCTGGATGAGGCCCGAGCTGCTGTCTCCAATGCTGAAGAACTGTTCGATGTCTGGAAGGACCCCTGCAAGGAGAAGACTCAAGATGAGCCCGGAGACCTCGGCTCCCCACTTCCCCTCTCCATCCCCCCCCCCGTTCCCATCCTTTGCAGAGGTCAGCACCTACCAGCCACGGTGAAGCGGTCCATGTAGTTCAGCAGGTTGATGTAACACAGCACCGCCACGATGAGTGCCGAACGGCCGGGAGACAAGCCCGTGATGCGCTGCAGCCTCTCGCGGTCCAGGACCTCGGGTTCCCCGGACTTCGGGATGCCCGCGGATCCCGGTAATCCTGGGGTGCCGGGCACCGGCCGGTCGTCCGGATCATCTGCCTGGCTGAGGAATGGCGCCGTGTCGGAGCCGGCCATGGTCGTGGGTGGGAGCGGGAGGCTCACTCTCCCGCGCTCCGGTCCCACCGACGATCCCACCTGCGAGGGAAGGGGGCTGGAGAGAGGAGGATGAGGAAGGAGGGAGCGCGCCGGGACTGGGTTAGGAGCTGGCCCCGAGGCCCCGAGCACGGCAGGGAAGGGCCCTGGGCCCCGGCATTCCCTCCCGATCCACCGAGCGGAGGGGACGTGTGGGGTGCCGGCGGTGCTGGGGACCGGAGCTGGCCAAGGAGAGCCGGGGGGGTCCCCGCCGGGAAGGAGCGCACGGCCCTCGCTGTCAATCAGCCCCGGCGACGCAGCACGGCGGCCGCCATGTTGCCCGAGAGCAGGAGGGTCATGTGATACTGGAGTCGTCGGGCGCCCAGCCCTCATCACGTGGCCCGTGCCGCGCTACGGCAGCCTAGAAGGACCCCCCCCTCTGCGTCACGTGGCCGAGGACTGGTCGCCGGGGTAACCAGGGATCGCTCCTCTGCGGGCGCCATGGCAACGCGCCGGGACCCGCAGCATCTCCCGCGCCGGGCGTCTGGACCAATGGCGGTGCCCGGTGTGGAGCGCGCGCTGGGCACATTTCCGGGGACCAGGCGAGATCGTGGGACCCGCACAGGCTTTTTTTTTCTTTCTTTTGGAAAATAGCGGTCTCTAGAGCTGCCAGTGCCCCGCTCCCGCCGTCCCCGGCCTCGGGCTGGCCCCGCGCCCCCCGCGGACCCCCAGACACCCGTGGAGGGACGCGCGCTCCGCCCCAGCTGACTCAGGCGGCTTGAGATCGATCTCAGGGTCAGGATCCAAAGTGGCGCGGCTGGGAAGGGGGGTCGGTGGTAGAGTGCTTGCCTGGTGTGCATGAGGCCCTGGGTTCGATTCCACATACACAGCAAAGGCCGGAAGTGAAGTGGTGCTGTAGCCCAAGTGGTAGAGTGCGGGCTTTGAGCTGAAGCGCTCAGGGACAGCGCCCAGGCCCAGAATTCAAGTCCCAAGATCGATCGACAAGAAAGAAAGAAAAAAAAAAAGCCCAGGCAGGAAAGTCTATGAGATCCTTACCTCCAATCAGCCACCAGAAATGGAGCTGTGGCTCAAGTGGTAGAGTGACAGGCTTGAGCAGAAAAGGAAGGTGCCCGGGCCTTGAGTTCACATGCCAGTACCTGCGCCCTAAACAAGCTTTTTCACTAAACCTCGGAGCTTTTCTTCATAGCAACATAAACACACATGGCTAACGTCAGACGCCAAATGGCCCTTTACAGAGAAAGGTTCCCCACCGCTGAAGAGGTGGGAAGGGATAGAACCCCAGGGATGCCCCAGGGGTCTGGAGGAGCGGTATGAAGGAGCGCCTTGAGTGGAAGGGGATGAGATGGGTCATAGATGGGAAGTTTCAAAGGTATAAAGGCTAAATAGTGTAGTCAGCACTGTGGCTTGTTAGAAAGGGGGCATCACCCCTGGCCCATCCATGAGCTTGAGGCACCCAGGGCCTGCTGTGTGTGTGTCTGCACTGGGGCTTGAACTCTGGGCCTAGGCACTGTCCCTGAGCTTTTTTGCTCAGTGATCTACTACTTTGAGCCACAGCTCTAATTCCATTTTTCTGGCAGTTAATTGCAGATAAGTGTCTTATAATTTGCTGCCTGGGCTGGCTTCAAACTGCAATATTCAAATCTCAGCCTCTGAGTAGTTAGGATTACAGGCATGAGCAAGCATTTTAACAGAATCATGGATTACTTTGTGTGTACTGAAGGATGAGATTGTTTCAAGAAATGAGTCTAGGGGCTGGGAAGGTGGCTCAGTGGTAGAATGCTTGCCTTGCATGCATGAGCCCTGAGTTTGATTCCTCAGCACCACAAAAGCAGAAAAAGCTGGAAGTGGTGATGTGGCTCAAGTGGCAGAGAGCTAGCCTTGAGCTGAAGAGTTGAGGGACAGCGCCCAGGCCCAGAACTCAGTCTCCATGACCAAAAAGAAAAAAAATTGGGTCCTGCCTCAGACCCCTTGTGTTTATATCTAGTTCTGCAGCTGGCAGCTTGGTGGGGAAAGATTAATTTGTAAAGTGGGGAAAACAGTTAAGTTGTTCTGAGGATGAAGGTATGATTTAAAGAAAAAAAAAGCCAAGTCTGATACATGGCACTGAGTATTTACTGAAGTATTTTTGTTTTGTTTTGTTTGGTGCTAGTACTGGGGCCAAAAGTCCAGGTGCTGTCCACCTTAACCTTTTGCTCAAAGCTGGCGCTCTACCACTTGAGCCACAACTCCATGTCTGGCTTTTTTTTTCCACTTCTGGATTTCTGCTGGTTAGTTGGAGTTTAGAATCTCATGACTTTCCTGCACAAGTTGTCTTTGAACCATCATCCTCATCTCTGCCTCCTAAGTAATTAGGATTAAAGGTGTAAACCACCTGCGCCCAGCTCATTAAAGTTTAGAAGGTCTCTTATCAGGAGAGCTTTAGAAAGTTAATGTCTCAAAAGTATAAGACATAGAAGTATAAGTCATAGAAGAAACAAATTATTTTACAATGATGCCACTCCTATTCCCTCCAGATTGCTGGGGAAGACAGAGGGAAATTGGAACATTCTAGCATCTGCTAGAAGAGCAATGGTGTTTTGAAGAAGCATAACCAAATGGTGAAGCTGGGTAGATGCATGCTTTATTACTAGTGGGAGGATTGCATTCCTGTATATGAACCCCTGAGGAAAATCTCCGTGCCAATCAAGGGTCCCTACAATACAATCCGCAATGGCCATATGCAGGGGTCAGAACTAGGTTTGATTAGTTGACAAAAATCCTAAAGTAGGGCTGGGAAGGTGGCTCAGTGGTAGAGTACTTGCCTTGAGCTGAAGAGCTGAGGGACAGCGCCCAGGCCCAGAGTTCAGGCCCCACGACCGACACCCCCCCCAAAAAAAATCCTAAAGTAACAGTGAACAAAGCCAAGTTCCTCTTTTCTGTAAGAGCACAGTGGGTGCTGCAGGACGGGTGGAGTGTTCTGTGGAGGATGAGACCCCGCTGTCCTCCCATGAGGCTGCAATCCTGGAGGTTTCCTCCACTTCAGCAGCAGGAAGCAAAGGACAGAGCCATACTATTCCCTCGGAGACTTCCTGGACAAGGCACCCCTCTGTCAGACCCCAGAACCTGCACTGGCATTTGGCCATACCTAGCTAGACTATTTATTTTTTTTTTTTGGTCGGTCATGGGGCCTGAACTTTGGGCCTGGGCGCTGTCCCTCAACTCTTCAGCTCAAGGCTAGGGCTCTACCACTTGAGCCACAGCGCCACTTCTGGCTTTTTCTGCTTATGTGGTGCTGAGGAATCAAACCCATGCAAGGCGAGAGCACTCTACCACTGAGCCACCTTCCCAACCCTACTTCTGATTCTTTAATATGCTAAAAATGTAAATAGTAATACTGTATTTTTCAGGCAACAATGATGACAAAGTCTATACAAGTTCAGCATGGATGTAATTTTTTTTCTTTATTTTCTTTTGTTAGACAGGGTCTGACTATGTAGCACTATGTATGCCCTCAAACTCACCATCCTCCTGTGTCAGCCTCCCATGCGCTGGAATTACAGGCATGTGTAACCATATGTGTTCCCTAATATGTTCACTGCATGGCTGGTTGAATCTGCAAGTTCAACTTTGTGGACCACAGGAATGACTATACTGTTTTTATTTTGAATACCTCTGTATTCTGCTACAAGTCATGGGTCTATTAATTTGTAGGAGGAAAAATGGGGTTGAGAAAGTTAACAATCTGTCACAGAACTTTAGTGGATCCTCATGAGGGTCATTAAGACAGAAATCCTCAAGTACACACATGTTGAGTGTATTCAATTTATTTTGTTGAGACTGCATACAGAATTTTTAATATCCTCAAACTTATTGATGAACACAAAATCTGAAAAAGTGGAATTACACACCATACTGATTCTGTTAAGGGCCATAAAATTCAAAGGAATGATACCGTTTGTGAAGACTATCCCCACCCACATATCAGTAGGAGATGAATGGCTCTTTTAGTAGACAAAAAAACAGAAAACTGGCTCACATGGTTAAGGAAATAATTAATTAAAAAAAATTTGGTCTCCCACACAAAGGTGCATTTAAATTGTTTTGAAGTGAAGTAACAATACTTAGCAACCAGCAGAGCCTGGCATCAAGCAAAACAGGGCCAGTTTTGCCACTAAAAACAGCTGTTGAGTCAGTGTGATCAACTGAACTTTGGCCCCATTTAGGGGCCTCATAATGGGAGGAAAAACCAGCTCACTAACAGCAGAAAATAAAATCATCTCTCCTAGTTTTAAATAGGAAGTCAAGAAGCAACAAGCATTGTAAGAAAAGTCAATTTGTTTACTTTAAAATTAAGACTGCTCAGCAAAGGATCCTGCTAGCTACAAGAGTGTTACTTACAATCACCCAGGATCTTAGGATCAACTCCTCAGAATAAAAGGAAGCTTGTGAGAGAATGAGCAGTTCACAGGTAGAGAAAATAAAGAGGTGAGCAGGGATATGAAAATCCCCCGCCCAGCCAAGACCAGATGAAAGTCCATTAAAATATGGCAGCATTTTATACCTGTTAGACAGCAAAAGCAGAAAGTCAGGCATACTAGGTACTGGTGAGGACAGAAAGGAAATCCCCAGAGAAATCAACTGAAGAGCTTATACTCCGATCCTGAATTCATATGCTAGAGAAAGGTCTACTCAGGCTCCCAAAGGGACATAGGAAAGGATGTTTATCGTGTCCTTGGATTCAGTGCAGAGGAGATGGAGGTACACAGGTGCCCCTCGCTTAAGGCAACATGTGAGTAAAATCCGCCCGATGCCACTGGGTCAGCAGGTCTGAGCAACAATCTAGGAGCAAAGATCGAGGGGCTACACCTTCATACACACAGCCAGGCCAGTAAAACCTACTGCACGATAACACGGATACATAGTGAAAACAAAAACAAAACAAAACAAAACATAATCACTGAGAAAACACTTATAAAGATATTTATATTCTAAGGTGCACAATAAACATATTAAATGGGGGTGCTGTCAGGCAGGGACAGCATGAAGAAAGAAGAAAAACCCGTAAAAGCAGAGAATCCTTGCATGGGACGGTTATTCTCAAGAGCCAAAACGAAAGGGCTGAGGAAGGCAGCTGTGGCTCCAGTTATGTGCACCAGGAAGTGTGATCTAGAGGGGAGGGGCCACGAAGGGACCTGGGGAAGGGGCAGGGCTGACACTGCGCTTCCATTACCCTTCTTCACACTTGCACCTTGGCCTGTGTCAGCTTGCTCGTGTTCTCTCTCCACAGGCCATGCTACTACCCAAGCAAACTGCATTCCGGACCCCAGGTAAGAACAGAGCCATGTTGGTGCTGCATGTACTATGGTCCCAGGCCCTCATTTATACCAACTACCTCTCCAACTACAAAGGAACGTTCCCAGAACAGACATTTTAGCACAGCAAAGGGTGAAGATGAGGTTAAGGAATAGGACTGGGAGACGCCTCCTCCACACTCTGGGACTGCAAAGTTTAGCATGTGTTCATGGAGCCACAGGCCACCCTGGCAGCCACAACCACTTTACAATAACCAAGTAAGTGGCTAAGGCTTGGATCAGGGTGAACAGGAGACAGGGCCAAAGTCACTGGTTTTGTTTCTGCTTAAAGATAAGTTCTATTTTAATTTCTGCTAGCCCTTATGGGGCCAAAAAAATAAAAAAATAAGAAAGTAGTAGACATCTCCCCAAGTCCAGCAAGGCCTTTAAACATGGAGGGAGACTTCAGCCCCAGACTTCAATGAGGTCCCCAGATTCCATGCCCAGATCAGCCGGTAGCTCCTTGCCTGAAAGCTTTGTTCCATCATAGAAGAAGGAGAGCTTGTGTCCAGAAAGTCCCATGGCCTCCTCATAGTGTGACATGAGGGTTTGGAGAGGAGAATTCTACAGGGAGAAAACCAGATGAAAACTGGGAAAGAGGCTGGAGGATTCTGTCTTGATGGGATGGATGGCGACAGACCTTGGGAAAGGAGCTCAGCAATTCAGAATTAGGAGGACTCTTATGTTCAGTGCTAGGAGACAACAAAGGGAAGGAAAGGGACAGCATGGGACAGCCATTTCTCCCACTCACTTGAGCCAGTGAGATCTCTAGCTTCTGATGTTTCTCCTTCCCCTGCACTCTCAGTTGGAGCTTTTGGGATGTCTCTGTGGCCTCCAAAGAACTTGCCAAGACTACACAGTCTGTGAAAGGCGAGATCGGAGAGACAGGACTAAGTAGGCAGATGGAATCAGGGCCCTCTCTGGAACTTTCCCCATATTCCCCAACCCCTAAGGGGAATACTCTGGGCTTGGGCGCTGTCCCTGCACTCTTCAGCTCAAGGCTAGCGCTCTACCACTTAAGCTACAGTACCACTTCGGGGTTTCTGGTGGTTCACTGGAGATAAGAGTCTCACAGACTTTCCTGCCCTGGCTGGCTTTGAACAGTGATCCTCAGATCTCAGTTTCCTGAGTTGTTAGGATGACAGGTGTGAGCCACCAGCAACTGGCTTATTTTTTTTTTGGTTGGGGAGGGGAAGGATTGGTCATGGGGCTTGAACTCTGAGCCTGGGCACTGTCCCTGAGCTCTTCAGCTGAAGGCTAGAGTTTTACCACTTGAGCCACAGCGCTACATCTGTAAAAGCCTCTTTCCCAGGCTTCTCCATTTTTCCACTCACCAATGATGTCAGCCACTCCAAGCTTTAGGGTCCTGGGAGTGGCAGTCGGGGACAGTTCTGTCTCTCCGAAGAGCAAAAGGATCCTGCTTGGGGACACCCTGAGATGGGCAGCCATGTGGTCCACCACACTCTGAAGGGGCTCAGACTAGGGAAAGAGGAAGACAAGGAGGAAAGGAAACTTTCCCTCCTGGAAATTCTCCACCTACCCCCAACCCCCTCCAGCAAACCACCCAAAACACAAGTTTCTGGCCTGGGCTACTTGCTGAACTCCTCAGCTCCGAGTTTCACCATATTTACCTGGAAAGTAGAGAGTAAAATCACTGAGTAAAGGGCCCAGGTGAGCGGCACAAAGCAGCCTCCTGAGTCAGGAGAAGGGAGGGCGTGGAGCCTAGCAGCTGGGTCTCAGCCCAGGCAGCTGGGCCCTCCCACACTCCAACGCAACGGGGCCTCTGGGGAAGAGGGGTCAGTGTCCTGTCTTCCTGTTTTTTTAGACAAGCCAGAAATCGAGCCTTTTGTCTGATACCAACCATTGCAAAGTTGGATGACAAACTGGAACGCAGGGCCTCACATATGCTAGGCAAGTTCTCTACCTTGGCATCACACCTCCAACCACTCACATATGCCTCAAACTCTCTACAGCAGAGCAAGGAATGCAGTGCCAGCTTGGGCGCCATGCTCACTGAGGGCTCATTCCTGAGCAGTCCTGGTGTTCAATGTCCCTAACACACGAATTGGACTTTGTCAGGAAGTTCGGGGGCCTCAGGCAGATTGAAAGGCACCTGCTATTCCCATGTGATAGCCAGCACAAGAGGAAAATACAAGGCCCCAGGAGGAAAGAGATTATCTGGCAAGATATTCCCCTAAAAAAGCTTGGTAGAAGACATGCAACCTAAGTGGAGCCTTGAAGAATAGGTAGAGCCAGGTGCTGGTGGCTCACACCTGTAATCTTAACTACTCAGGAGGCTGAGACCTAAGGATATGAAGCCAGCCCAGGCAGGAAAGTCTCTGAGACTCTCATCTCCAATAAACTACCAAAAAAGTCACAGTGGAGTTGTGGTTCAAGTGGCAAAGCACTAGCCTTGAGCAAAAGCAGCTCAGGGACAGCACCTCAGGACTGGCAAAAAAAAGATTGGCTGGGAATGTGGCTTAGTGATATAGGGTTTGCCTAGCGTGCATACTGCCCTGGGTTTCATTCCTTAGTACCACATATACAGAAAAAGCCAGAAGTGGCACTGTGGCTCAAATGGTAAGAGTGCTAGGTAGCCTTGAGCAAAAGAAGCTCAGGGACAGTGCCCAAGCCCTGAGTTCAAGCCCCAAGACTAGCAAAAAAAAAAAGGCATGAAGCTAGAGGCTTGCAACTATAATCTTTGCTATAAAGGCAGCTGAGATCTGATGATCATGGTTCAAAGCAAGCCTGAGCAGAAAAGTCTGAGACTTATCTCCAATTAACCAGGAAAAAAAATTCATGGCTCAAGTGATAGATAGACTGCTATCCTTGAGTAAAAAAGCCAAGTGAGAACACGAGGCAGAGTTCAAAACCCACTTCTGGATCAACAACAAAGGAAGGAAGCAAGGAAGGAAAATAAGGAAAAACTACAGAGAGGGACCAGTAAGGAGAAAGGCTTGGAGGGACAGAGTGGCAGGGAGCTCCTGAGAGCAAGAGAGGAAGAAAAACACAGCCCCTCCTGACAGTATGTCTGTGCTGGGCATCAGTCTCTACAAAGTCAGCTCCTGGGCCTTCTCCTGCCAGTCCCCAAGCACTTACCATTCTAATGGGCAATCTGACCACGTCAGCCCGGCAACGGATTTTGAGCGGGAAGAGCCTGGGGTTCTCTGGCAGGACAGGCCCCTCCACCAGGACCACTTCATCGTCTTGGTTCAGGTGCTCATGGCCCTGGGGCTGCTTGGGGCTCAGGCAGGATCGAAGATCCTGGAGGCGCTTGTTCACTTCTCTGGGGGGCAGGCAAGGCACTGGTCGTCTGGGGTTGCTCACCCATCCCACCTGCCCCCACCCTTCTCCCCAGCCATAGTCCCCCCCAATCACTGGCACCTTAACTTCTGGAGTGCCCGAGTATGCTTTCTGCTTTTGTTCCTTGGTGGAGGTGGGGGAGAGGGAGATGTATCCTGAACCCTGGAGAAAGAAGAGAGGGGCAAGATGGAGACAAAGGACAGATGGGCAGAGAGCAAGAGTCAACAGGGAGGCCCTGTAAGTAACATGTACTGTACCAGAAGACAGACAGATCGGGACAGGGAAAAGCTAGCACGTTTTTGTTTTTACAAGACCCAAATATGAGGGAAGGAAAAATACCTTACTCCACAGGTCCAGTTCCATCTGGCACAGTCTGGGCTCTGACTAGTCATCTATATAACAATTCTCTAATCCCTCCCCCAGGCATGGATGAGGAAGGAAGCAGAAAGAAGGCAGAAAGCAGCCTGCAGGCTCCCTTAACCCGTGCACGGTCCTGCCTCCGGCTCTTCCGACTGAGTCTCTCAAAGGTCCTATCATCCTCTGGTCCTGCCACCTCTTCTCCTAGCAGTATCATTCAAGAAGGATGCTCGAGGCTCCTTCCAGCCCTTCTGCTTTCAGGAGCCAGCCCAGGGGCCTGCCTGCCTTGGCTCACCTCTTCCCCTCCCTCCTGCTCCCAGGGTCCACGTGTCCCAGGCTCACTCACAGAACCACCTTTGCTGCCTTCTCTTCTTTCTCATCCTTATTCCTCAGCTTACTCTTCCAGGGAGAACTTGGAACTGGAGGATCCTCAGAGTGAGGAGGACTGGTAAAATCTGCCATATCTATTTCTGGGGACAGAGGAGAAGAAAGTGCAAAGAATTAACCAAGAGAAGACCAGGGGAGGCCAAGGAGAAACAAGTCAGAGTCCTTAAGACCAGCCGGAGGAAGCCAGGTGTGGTGCATACCTATAATCCCAGCACTCAAGAGGCTGAGGCAAAGAGATCCCTAGTTTCAAGCTAGCCTGAGCTATATATTAAAACTGTCTTTAAAAAAAAAAAAAAAAAAGGCTGGTGCCAGTGGCGCATGCCTGTAATCCTAGCTACTCAGGAGGCTGAGATCTGAGAATTGTGGCTCAAAGCCAGACCAGGCAAGAAAGTCTGTAAGACTCATCTCCAATTAACCACTAGAAAACCAGAAGTGTTGCAAGCAATTGCCTTGAGCTGTAGAGCTCGAGGACAGCACCCAGGCCTCAAGACAAGGAAGTGGGAGGTAAAGAGTGGGGCAGGAGACCAAAGGTTCACACTAAGATCTGAGGATCACAGTTAGAAGCCAGCTCATGCTGATAAATCCCCAAGACTCTTATCTCTAACCAAAAAGTCAGAAGTAGAGCTGTGGCTCAAGTAAAATGTCAGCCTTGAGTGAAAAAACTTAGGGACAGTGTCCAAACCCTGAGTTCAAAGTTCCACTACTGGCACAAAATAAATAAATAAATAAATAAAAATAAAAAAAAATTAAACCAGGCGCTAGTGACTCAAACTTGCTATTCAGGAGGCTGAGATCTGAGGATCAAGGTTCAAAGCCAGCCAGGGTAGAAAAGTTCATTAGACGCTTATCTCCAGTAAAGTACTCGGAGAAAGCCAAAAGTAGTGCTGTGGACCAAGTGGTAGAGCACTAGTCTCAGGCACAAAGAGGCTCAAGGACAGCTCTCAGGCCATAAGTTCAAGCCCAGGAGCAGAAAAAAAAAAAAAAGCTCCACATATGATGGGGGAGATGCACAAGAAGGGGTACACTACTATATGAGAGGAGCTAGTCTATGAGAAAAAGCCAGCCCAGGAGAAAAGTAAAGAGGAAGAGGTGGAATCATCCCAAAATGTCCTTTGCCCAGAAGAAAGACTGGGTACCTCAAAACAAGGCAAGTTTCTTCAGAGCTCAGGAAAGGGCTGCTGAAAGCTAAATCAAACAAATTTTTCCTTTTTTTTTTTTGGGGGGGGGCAGTCCTGGGACTTGAACTCAGGGCCTGGGCACTGTCCCGAGCTGCTTTTGCTCAAGGCTAGCACTCTACCACTTGAGCTACAGTGCCACTTCTGGTTTTTTCTGTTTATGTGGTACTGAGGAATTGAACCCAGGGCTTCAAGCATACTAGGCAAGCACTCTACCACTAAGCCACATTCCCAGCCCCTCAAACAAATTTCTATGAAGAATTTTTTTCAGAAAGACAATAAACTTATTGACGAGCAACTAAAAAGAAAAACAAAAAACAAGAGCCTGAGAAAGGATACTGCAGTGACAGACATAAGACCACTAGAACATACTGAAAAAGTGTTGGAAGAGCATGACTGTTAAGATTTTTCTTTAAATCTCTCAGTTTCTCGTGTATGTGTGTGTGTGTGTGTGTGTGTGTGTGTGTGTGTGTCTAGAAACTGAATCCAAGGTCTCAAGCTTGTTAGGCAAACACTCTACCACTCAACTAATATCCTAGACCCTTTTTTACATTAGAGAGTCTTTTCCCGTTTGCTTGCTACAAATAGAAGAGAATCATAAGGCTAGGGATGTAGCTCCGTGGTAGAGCATGTCTCCTAGTTCAAGTCTCACCAAAAAAAAAATTTTTTTAAGTCCATGAGACTTTTTTTTTTTGGATCAGTCTTGGGGCTTGAACTCTGGGCCTAGGAGCTGTCCTTGAACTCTTTAGCTTAAGGCGAGCACTCTACCACTTGAGCCACAGCACCACTTCTGGTTTTCTGGTGGTAAATTGAAGAGTCTCATGAACTTTACTGTCCTGAATGGCTTTGAACGGCGATCCTCAGATCTCAGCTTCCTGAGTAGCTAGGATTACAGGCATGAACCTCCAGCTCCTGGTTTCCATGAGACTCTTATCTCCAATAAACTACACAGAAAAAGCTGGAAGTAGTGCTGTGGTTCAAGTGGTACAGCATTAGCCTTGAACCAAAGAAGCTCAGGGACTGTATCCAAACCATGAGTTCAAGTCCCAGGACCAGCACACGCGCATGCACAAAACTAAACAAAAACATTATAAACCATAAAATAAAAAATACTGTCCAGATTGGGGGGGGGGGTGTACCTCAGTGCTAAAGCACATGCCTAACATGTCCATGCCCTGTTCCATTTCCAGCACTACTAAATAAAGAATAAATATTATGAGAATGAAACAATAACTCGGGGGTCAGTGGTTTTCAACCAGGCACAATTTTGCCTCCCAGGGGACACGTGGCACTGTCTGGAGATAATGCTGTCAAAATATGGGGGGGGGGCTGGGAAGGTGGCTCAAAGGTGGAGTGCTTACCTCACCTGCAGAGGCCCAGGGTTTGATTCCTCACCACCACATAAACAGAAAAAGCCGCAAGTGGTGCAGTGATAGAACACTAGCCTTAAGCTGAAGAGCTGAGGGGACAGCCCTTAGGCCCAGAGTTCAAGCCCCATGACTAACAACAACAAAATTCCTGAGGGAGTCGGCTAGGGCTGCTATAAACTTTTCTACAATGGGCAAACAACTCCCCTCACACACAAGAATTCTCCAGGCCAAAATATCAAGATTGGTGCTACAACTGATTACCTTTTACATAGTACTTTGAAGTTCCCAGTGCTGTCCTAACCCATGTACACGGGCCAGAGAAAAAGAGAGAGAGAGCAGCCTACACATTCCATTTATTTCTTTATTTATTGTGCCCGTCCAGAGTCTTGAATTCAGGACCTGTGCTTTACCCCTTAGCTTTTTTGCTCAAGGCTGGGACTCTACCACTTGAGCCATAAAGCTCCACATTCAACTTTTGGGTGGTTAATTGAAGATAAGGGTCTCACAGACTTTCCTGCCCAGATTGACTATTAGAACCCCAATCCTTAGAACTGCCTTCTAATAGCACCTGTCCACAGATTCTCTTTAAATAATTCTCACCAAAATCTTCTGACATAAATCCACTACAACCATCTTCCTGATCTGGAAATGGAAGCAATCAAAGGCTAGATCACTTGTCCAACGTCACACTATTCAGGGACAGAGGTGTGCTTTTAACCAGTCTACCATCTCCCACCCCCACCCTGTCCAAAAGACTTAATCCAACGTCTGTATTTGCAAATTGGATGACTTCCTTATTAGATTTGATTCTTTTGTTGTTTTCCCTTTTGTTTGGCTGGTTTTTTGTTTGTGTGCACCTTGAACTCTGGGCTCAGGTGCTGTCCCGCAGCTCTTCAGCACAAGACAAGGGATCTACCACTTGAGCCACAGCTCCACTTCCGGTTTTCTGGTGGTTTATTGGAGATAAGAGTCTCTCAGGGGGAGGGGGGAGGTTGGGAAGGGATGGGAAGGGTAAACAAAGGAGGAGGCTGCAATGCTTGGTAAGAAATGTACGCATTATCCTGCCCATGCAATTGTAACCCCTCTGTACAGTATGTTCACAAATAAAATAAAATTTAAATTAAAAAAAAAAAAAGAGTCTCTCAGACTCTCCAGCCCCAGTTGGCTTTGAACTACAGTCTGCAGATCTCAGCCTGCGAAGCTAGTAATATAGGTGTGAGCCACTGATGCCCAGCTAGATTTGATTTTTTTTCGCTACCATTTGTAAAAGGGTAGCAAGAATCACATCACTGGGCTGGCAATGTGGCTTAGTGGTAGAGTGCTTGCCTAGCATCCATGAAGCCCTAGGTTCCATTCCTCAGTACCACATAACCAGAAAAAGCCAGAAGTGGTGCTGTGGTTCAATTGGTATAGTGCTAGCATTGAGCAAAAAAAAAAAAGCTCAGGGACAGTGCCCAGGCCTTGAGTTCAAGCCCCAGGACTGGCAAAAAAATAAATAAATAAAAATAATCACATCACTGGGGGAGGACAAAATGCAAAGAACAACCTGCTAGCTCTGAAGTATTCCTAAGGAATTTGCTGCTAATGTAACAAGATGTCACAGATTCACAATACCCCCGAGTAGGATTACAAAACCCTACTCTTTTACAAATCCTAGGCTTTTACAAACCTGCATATGGTGGTAGGCACAAGGTTTTTAAGCAGCTCCAGTGCCTTCTAGATAACAACCAAATACCTCCTTTCAGGACTCAAGTTTGAACTCAGGGCTTTGCACTTTTTTTTTCTTCTTTTGGTTGATGATGGGACTTGAACTTAGGGCCTGGAAGCTGTCCTGAACTTTTTCACTCAAGGCTAGTGCTCTACCACTTTGAGCCACAGTGCCACTTCCAGTTTTCTTGTAGTTAATTGGAGATAAGAGTCTTACAGCCTTTCTTGCCAGTGCTAGCTTGGAACCAAGATACACAAATCTCATCCTCCTGAGTAGCTACAATTATAGGCATAAGCTACCAGGAAGGGACAGACTTTCTTGATTTTTTTCTACTCAAAGCTGGTCCTCTACCACTTAAGCTACACCTCTACTTCCCTCTTTTCCTCTGCTAAAGCTGGTTTCAAACTGTGATCCTCAGACTTCATTCCAAAATACCTAGCATTTTAAGCACAAGCCTGCCAGAATAGACAATAAGCTGAGGGGTGTGGCACAGTGGTAAGGAATTGCCTGCTGGGATACAGATTCCAGAAGTCTCCTTAGAAATCTGCTTACCTTCTTCTGCCCCTGCAGGGTAGAGTTTCAGGAGGGAAGCATCATCTGGGATGAGGTTGAAACTACTTTGTACCTGCAAAGACAAAGATAGGAATGTTATTTTGCCAATTCTTGTACTAGTGAAAGGCAATTTATAGTCTTCGGTATACATAATGCCTTTTTCAATTTTAATTTATAAGACTGTCCATTCTATGTCAATGATAAAAGGATAAGTCTTGATATGGAGAAAATGTCCAATGAATATTAAGTAACTTAGGTGATGGACTTGCCAAACTTCACATTTTTCTATTTTAATTTTTTTACTGTTGGGGCTGGGAAGGTGGCTCAATGGTAGAACGCTTGCCTTGCATGCCTGAGGCCCTGGGTTCGATTCCTCAGCACCACATAAGCAAAAAGAAAAAAGCCAGAAGTGGCTCTGTGGTTCAAGTGGTAGAGCACTAGCCTTGAGCTGAAGAGCTGAGGGACAGCACCCAGTCCCAGAGTTCAGGCCCCACGACCAGACCCAAAAAAAAAAAAAAAATTTACTGTTATTATAAAAGTGATGTACGGGCTGGGAAGTTGGCTCAGTGGTAAAGTGCTCGTCTCACATGCATGAGGCCCTGGATTCGATTCCTCAGCACCACATAAGCAGAAAAAGCTGGAAGTGGCGTTGTGGCTCAAGTGGTAGAGTGCTAGCCTTGAGCTGAAGAGCTGAGGGACAGTGCCCAGGCCCAGAGTTCAAGCCCCACGACTGACAAATAAAGTGATGTACAGAAAGGGTATGATTACATTTTAATAATATCAAAGTGAAAATTGAAATAAATCTGAACATACACCAAAATGAGAACAACAGTTTATTTCTAGTATGTTTTCTATCTCAAAATTATACGATTTCTATGTAACTTGTGAGCAGCAACAGGAGGGGGAAACTGGGGAAAAGAGAAAATAGTCACATTGTCCAAAAATGAAATGTAGTCATTACTTGACTTATAAAATAGTAACCCTTCTGTATAATGCCTTAATAATAACAATAAAGTCTTATTAAAAATTATACATTTCTATTAGGTTGCAATACTTTCCAGTAACTGGGTTATTTTTGTGACCAACAAAACAGCAACCAAAAATTAAAAAAAAAAACAAAAACCAGCAATCAGGATTTTTTTTTGGTCAGTCATGGGGCTTGAACTCTGGGCCTGGGCGCTGTCTCTGCACTCTTCAGCTCAAGGTGAGCTGTCTACCGCTTGAGCCACAGCACCACTTCTGGCTTTCCAGTGGTTTATTGGAGATAAGAGTTTCATAGACTTTCCTGCCCGGGCTGGCTTTGAACTGCGATCCTCATATCTCAGCCTCCTGAGTAGCTAGGATTACCAGGCGCCCGAGAGCAATCAACATTATTTTTTGTTTTGTTTGTCAGTCTTGTGGCTTGAACTCAAGGCCTGAGTACTATCCCTGAGCTTTTTCTTTCTTTTTTTTTTTGGGGGGGGAGGATGGGTGGGAGTCAGTCATGGGGCTTGAACTCTGCGCCTGAGGGCTGTCCCTGAGCTCTTCAGCTCAAGGAGAGCGCTCAACCACTTGAGCCACAGAGTGCTACTCCAGTTTTTTGGTGGTTAACTGGTGTTAAGAGTCTCACGGACTTTCCTGCCCAGGCTGGCTTTGAACTGCAATCCTCAGATCTCAGCCTCCTGAGTAGCTAGGATTACAGGCATGTGCCACGGGCACCTGGCTCTGAGCTTCTCTTGCTCAAGGCTTGTGCTCCACCACTTGAGCCACGGTGCCACTTCTGGCTTTTCCTGTTTATGTGGTACTGAGGAATTGAACCCAGGGCTTCATGCATACCAGGCAAGCACTCTACTACTAAGCCACATTCTCAGCCTTTTCCAGTTATTTTAGAGATGGAATACCAAGAATTTTTCTATTTAGTCCTCTGAACCTCAATCCTCTTTGAATCCTCATTATTACCACTTCTTCCACCTCTTTCTTTCTTTCTTTCTCTGTCTGTCTGTCCTGGGATGTAAACTCAGGGCCTATGCATTGTCCCTGAGCTTCTTTTGCTCAAGACCAGCATTCTACCACTAGAGCCACAGCACTACTTCACCACTTCTGCTTTTTCTGTGTATGTGGTATGGAGGAACCAAAGCCAGGGCTTCATGGATGCTAGGTAAGCACTCTACCACTAAGCCACATTCCCGGCCCTCAACATTACCTTTACATATGAGTATATAGACACATATATCTATATAGAGACATATATAGATATGTATGTTTATATTTACTTATTTAAAGAGGGGAGAGGGCTGGGAAGGTGGCTCAGTGGTAGAGCGCTTGCCTTGCATGCCTGAGGCCCTGGGTTCGATTCCTCAGCACCACATAAGCAAAAAGAAAAAAGCCGGAAGTGGCGCTGTGGCTCAAGTGGTAGAGCGCTAGCCTTGAGCTGAAGAGCTGAGGGACAGCGCCCAGGCCCAGAGTTCAAGCCCCATGACCGACCAAAAAAAAAAAAAGAGGGGAGAGTGTCAGCCCGAAGTCTTCCCGGGACTGATGGGAAAAACTGAAGGTGGATTTCCCTAACCCCAGCTCCTAAATCTTTCCTAAGGATGAGGTCACCACAACCTTCTCAGGGGTACTCAGGAATTCAGAACCCTACATTGTCGACCCCTCCCCTCAATCTTCTTTCCCTAGGGCTTTCTGAAGACATCGGCTTAATTCTTTCCTCCTAAGTTGCTACTATCCATCTTTCAACCCCAGGACCTTGGGGACCCTCTAGCTCCCACGCACTCCCCCCATCACACACACACACACACACACACACACACACACACACACACACACACACACACACACACACACACACACAGCATTCTGGATCTCCAAGGAGCCCAACTTCCTCATAAATACCCCCATTCCTTGTCATCCTCATCAGAACGCTCCCCAATCCCAACCGCACGTTCTCCTGGGCCCCTCTGAATCCGAAAGCACCCCACTCCCCAGCCCGCCTGCCTGCCTATGCACCCCCAGGCTACAGATCAGGGTTAGCTCCTTCTTCCACCGTGCCCTTCACCCGCTGGGCCTCCCCAACCCACGGGCGTCTCGGCGTCCATCCATCACCCCGGCCTGGCTGTTTCCGTCTCCCCCCCCACCACCCACGGCCAAGTCCGGAATCCCCGGCTCGGGCCCCCCCCCCGAAAGCCGCACCTCTGACCTTCGGAGATGGGCCCGGCCCGGCTTCCACGCTCACCTTCCCAGAGTACACCGGAACCACTGGCGCCTCGCCGGGGTCCAGCAGCAGCCGCCGCCGCCGCCGGACCACCGTCCGCGGGCTGGAGCCCTCGCTGTCGCTGTCGCTGTCCGGCCGGCGTGCGGCCGGCGCCGGGGGCTCCGCGGGCTCCGCCGCCACCGGCTCCGCCGCCGTCTCTTCATCGCTGTCGCTGACCAAGTCCACAAACACTGGGTCCAGAGTACGCCGGACCGGAGACCGCTGGACGTCGGGATGCCGGCCCCGACCACCCCGCGTCCCCCGAGCCCCTCGGCCGACCCGGCCGCCGCGGAGCCTGCGACCTCGCCTCCTCAGCGGTTCCGCCATCACACTCCCTCAGCCGCTACACAAACTCTCCGGCCTCTCCCCGCCCAGCCCCCTCCAGCCTCTCATTGGACAGACAGCCTGTTGGTGAGCGCCTCTGCCCGCCCCCACGCTCTGGCTACGCCTCTCCACCCCGTCACTGGACAGCGCACATGCCCATCATTCACGCCCCACTGAAACAAAGGCGCCAAAGATTCCAATCCTTGCGGTACAATCAGAGAAGGTTTCGATTCCGTAAAGCCCATTCATTGGCTGAGCTGCCTCGTTTCGACCCGCCCACTGAGGGGAAGGAAAAATAAAAAGACCCGATTTCCTCTTCTGTCGAGGATCGAGGCATCCTGGGGATTGTAGTCCTGGAGTCCTAAGACCGAGTGGGAATTAGGTCTACCTGAGGTTTAGGGGTACCTCTATTACTGGCCCCCCACTCCCCCTCCTCAGTACTGACCGGTGTGAATATGAAGACTTCCATTCAACTCAGGTTTCATGCTCATTCAAAAATAAAGGTTTCCCAGTCATAACTACTCAGGAGGCTGTCCTTGTACGGAAATTCAGTCGCAAGACACAGAGAAGCCACGTTTTTGTTTGTTTGTTTGTTTGTGCCAGTCCTGGGCCTGGGCACTGTCCCTGAGTTTCTTTTGCTCAAGGCTAGCGCTCTACCACTTGAGCCACAGCGCCACTTCTGGCTTTTTCTGCTTATGTGGTGCTGAGGAATTGAACCCAGGGCCTCATGCATGCTAGGCAAGCACTCTACCACTGAGCCACCTTCCCAGCACTCAGAAGCCACTTGCTCTTGAGCTCAAGGCTGGTGCTCTACCACTGGAGCCACAGCGGCCACTTCTGGTTTTCTAGTGGTTTATTGGAGATAAGAGTCTCCTGGACTTTTCTGCCCGGGCTGGCTTTGAATTGTGATCCTCGGATCTCAGCCTCCAGAGCAGCCAGGATTACAGGCATGAGCCCACCCGCACCCCCCAGCACAAAGCTTTTAAAGACAAAAATCACACGTTTGGGGTGGACACCCAAATTCAATAAAAGCAGACCATCTAAGGAGATACTCAGGTCCAATCAAAACTTTCCAGATAGCAGAACAGTCAAGAGTTGACAAATAAAACCATCTAGGGAGATAATAGCAAAGCTTTCCTGGAGCTAAACAGCATGACATCTGCAATTCAAAGAATGCCCTGTCTCACCTCTAGGCCTTTCTAAGCTGGGTGAGAAGCTCCTACCACCCAGCAAGATGCCAAGATGATGCGTTAGACAAGGCCATGTTACTTAGCCTCTGTCTCCTTGTTTCGTCCTGAAGTATCATGGTTCCAAGCCAGTCCTGGCAGAAAAGTTTCCAATTAACCAACAAAATGCTGAGTTAAGAGGCTCAAATTGCTCAACTGATAGATCACCAGCTATAAGCAAAAAAAAAAAAAATTCTAACAAGAGCTGAAGACTTTGAGTTCAAGCCCTGGCACTGACACAAAAATTAAAACTTTTCTATCGCTACTGCCTCCTGGTAAGGTGTCTGAATTAGGAGATTTTGGGTGTTAACTACATTCCAACACACCCACCAACAATTCAGACACCACAACTGTTCAATATAACATTTCACACTTCCTTTGCCTCTAACACCTACACTGAAACCAGAGTTTTAGACCCTAAACCCAAACTGCTGAGGAGAGGAGGGGCAGAAGTTACCCCTATATGACAAGTAAATGGATAGTAATGGTGAAGGGCAGAAAAAGGAGATTTAGTTTGTGGCTCAAGGAACATTGAGAAGAAGCAAAGGAAACAATTGAGTCCATCTCAGTCATGTTGGAAATACAAACATGAGCTGCAGGGTTTTCGTTTTTGTTTTGTCAGTTGTGGGGCTTGAACTCTGGGCCTGGGCGATGTCCCTCAGCTCTTCAGCTCAAGGTGAGTGCTCTACCACTTGAGCCATAGTGCCAATTCTGGTTTTCTGGTGGTTAATTGGAAATAAGAGTCTCAGGGACGTTCCTGCCCAGGCTGGCTTTGAACTGTGATCCTCAGATCTCAGCCTCTTGAGTAGTTAGGATTACAGGTGTGAGTTTGGCTGAGCTGCAGAGTTTTTGTTGTTTTTTTTTTTCTTTTTTTGTTGGTTGTGGGGCCTGAACTCTGGGTCTGGGCACTGTCCCTCAGCTCTTCAGCTCAAGGCTAGTGCTCTACCACTTGAGCCACAGCGACACTTCCAACTTTTTCTGCTTATGTGGTGCTGAGGAATCGAACCCAGGGCTTCATGCATGCAAGGCAAGCAGCCTACCACTGAGCCACCTTCCCAGCCCATGAGCTGCAGGTTTTATAGACAAAAAAAAAAAAAATTAAGGGCAAAAGTTGAGAGGTTGTTCAACAGTCCTGGTCGTGGATGTGTTCTGGTGGGTCATCAGTTCAATCTTTATTTGGGAAATGGGCCTGGGCCCTGGAGAAGTTATTACTACTCCTTAGAGTTTCTGAAGTTCTCTTCCTTTGGGGGGGCAAGCCCTCCTGGCAAATAGGCCCTATCTTTCAAGGATTAGACAAAGATAGGTAAAAAATGGGGGCAAAGAGGACAAGTTGTTCTCTCGCTCCGAATTAATTTTTGGACCCAAGTACAGAGTCAGCAAAAGCAGTTAAAGTACCAGTTACAGCTCCAAACATTCAACTACACTTCACACCATAGCCACAGGAAACACCCAACGAAACCTGCTCCTTCCACAGCGTTCCCAGAACGGGTACCTCACACATCCATCCACAATGGCATCTTCCCGTGTTGTTTTGTTTTGAGCTCAGGGTCTTGCCCAGTCTACCCTCTAATTCATGATCTCCCTGCTTCTTCCTCCTAAGTGCTGGGATTGCAGACCTACAGCACCTAGCCTGGCTCAGAACAGCATTTTGACCACACCCACACCCTAGACACCCCCCACTGCAAGGCCACAATGACATTTCGTTCACCTCAACTCCTTCAACCCCCACTTCAGCTCCCCCACCGTGACTCAGCCCAGATCAGGATTGAAGGCCCACAGCTCCCAGCAGGTGGCGCCCTTTCTGCTCTCTATGGCCAAGGAGATTAAGCAGTTCTTCATGTATTTAATTAGCCATGTATACTTTTTTTTGGGGGGGGGAGGGTCCTGTCGTGGGGCCTGAACTCTGGGCTTGGGCGCTGTCCCTCAGCTCTTCAGCTCAAGGCTAGCGCTCTACCACTTGAGCCACAGCGCCACTTCCGGCTTTTTTCTTTTTGCTTATGTGGTGCTGAGGAATCGAACCCAGGGCCTCAGGCATGCAAGGCAAGCGCTCTACCACTGAGCCACCTTCCCAGCCCCAGCCATGTGTACTTCTGAGCAGTGTTTGAGAACAGAGGATACACCAAGGATTTCCCAGCCCCAGGAGACCTTCAAACCAGGCTGTAGACTGTCCCAAATACACTGATAGGAGAGGGAGATCATCCCCAATACATATCATATCATATATCATATTATATGCTGCTTTGGCATATTTTGAAAAGGCTATGGTGAGAAATGCCATCAGAGTTACAGCTCTAGAAAGCTGACTTTCTGTAAAAGAAATTCCATCTGTGGAGGAAACACACATTAGAAGAGTGAACAGGAGAAGCAGGCAGAGGTTTTCTCTCTTTCATGGCTGGTTCACTACCTTGCTCCACTAACTCCCAAATCACTGTTCCTTTATGGTCTCCTATTTTGGGCCACTCTCATATATGTGTACACAATTTTTCCTTTGGTCCATTCATCTGTCTAATATGGCCAGGCACTGGTGGCTCACAGTTGTAATTCTCACTACTTGGGAAGCTGAGATTTGAGGATCGCGATTCAAAGCCAGCTCAGGCAGGAAAGTCCTGGGACTCATCTCCAATTAATGAGCAAAACGCTAGACCTGGAACTGTGCATGGCTCAAGTGGTAAAACACCAGCCTTAAGAAAAGAAAAAAAAACCCAAAGGGGTATAGCACCCAGGTTAAGTTCAAGCCCCAGTACCAGCACATGAAGCAAAATATAGCAAAATATAGCGAGTGGGTATTTTGTTTGTTGTTACAGTGCTGGGAATACAACCCTGAGCCTCACCCATGCCGGACAAGTGCTCCATCACTGACAAATGCCTGCTTCACCCCCACCCCCAGCCAGTTTTTCTTTTTGGTTGTAGTAGGGTTTGAACACAAGGAGTTATGCTTGGTAGGTGGGTGCTCTACATCTGAACCAAGCCTCCAACTCTTTTTGCACTGATCATTCTGAGTCCTCCTGTTGGTCACCTCTGCAATAGCGGGGGTGCCAGCTTCTTTAGTTGAGATGGGGGTCTCATGAGCTTTTCTGGCAGAGCTAGTTTGGAACTGCAATCCTCCTGATTTTAGCCTCCCAGGTAGCTAAGATGACAGGCATGCACCACCGCATCCGGCTATTGGTTGAGAAGGGGTCTCAGTTGTCTGCCAAGGCTAACCCTTGAACCTCAGTCTTTTCCATCTCAGCCTCCCAAGGATTATGGGCATGAACCACCAGAGTTTGTGGCTTAAGAAAAAAAAAAGACAAAAAACTTGAAACTTTGAGCTCAAAAACCAACAGAACCTTCTTGGTGCTCGACACAAAGGAGGAAAACAAAGCCAACACGATGGGGTGTTGGAAAATGTGAGGTCAAGGAGGATTGGAATTTTTTTTATTTGTTTGTTTATGCCAGCTCTGCAGCTTGAACTTGGGCCCTGAGTCTTATCCCTTAGCTTTTTTGCTCAAAGCTAATGATCTGCCACTTGAGCCACAGTTCCATTGCTGGCTTTTGGTGATTAATTGGAGATATGTATCCCAGACTTTCCTGACTAAGCTTGGCTTCAAACCTTGGTCCTCAGATCTCAGCCTTCTGAGTAGCTAGGAATACAGGTGTGAGCCACCAGCATCCAGCCTAGGACTGGCTTTTTTTTTTTTTTTTGTCGGTGATAGGGCTTGAACTCTGGGCCTGGGCGCTGTACCTCAGCTTTTTAGCTCAAGGCAAGTGCCTACCACTTGAGCCATAGTGTCACTTCCGGTTTTCTGGTGGTTATTGGAGATAAAAGTCTCATGGACTTTCCTGTCTGGGATGGCCTTGAACCATGATCCTCAGATCTCAGCCTCCTGAGTAGCTAGGATTACAGGCATGAGCCACCAATGCCTGATTTAGGACTGGCATTTTAACACCCATCTGAGAACAGAGGTCCAGGCAGGGCTGGAAGTGTGATTCCTGCATAAAGCTGGGGGTGGGGAGAGAGAGCAAAAGAGAGAGGGCACCCTTGTGGAGATAGGATGGAGAAAAAAAAATAATAATTCCCCAGACCTGGTATAAGACATGAAAATAACTCTAGATAGTCCATGGGTGGAAAAAGTCACGACAGGCAATCAAGATCCCAAGGTTCACGGAATTTGGGGCCTGGATGCAGTCCAAACCTCTACAGGGGAAAACCTGCTTTGAGAAACTCATGAATAAAATGGCAGAAACCTGTGTAGCCAGTAAGGCTGATGATGCAGAAGCCAAAGGAAGCTGGCTCTAGGCAGTGGACCAAGGGGACCAAGGAATTCTGAGGACTCTCACAAGCAGTCGAAACACACACACACACACACACACACACACACACACACACACAAAGTCAAAGAAACCTTCCATAGTGAGACCAGGAAACCAGAGAAGAATCCACTGCATTACAAAGTATGGGGTATGATGCTATGTGCCTATAATGCCAACACTCAGAGATTGAGGCAGCAGGATTGCAAATGAGAGCAACACCCTGTCTCGAGAAAATAAATAGGGCTGGGAAAGTGACTCAGTGGTAGAGCGCTTGCCTTGTATGCTTGAGGCCCTGGGTTCGATTCTTCAGCACCACATAAGCAGAAAAAGCCAGAAGTGGCGCTGTGGCTCAAGTGGTAGAGGGCTAGCCTTGAGCTGAAGAGCTGAGGGACAGCGCCCAGGCCCAGAGTTCAGGCCCCACAACTGGACCCCCCCAAAAAAAAGAGAGAAGGAGAAAATAAAAAAGTAAAATAGAACCACATCATGCTTCTCCCTAGTGCTACTTTATAATTAGGGAAACAGAGTCAGCAGACCTTCTTTGCTAGGTCTGTCTTTCATTGAAGTAGGTCTTTAGCTTCTCCTCGCTCAGCTTCAGCTGCTAGATAATTTTAGGGTACCTTCCTCCCTTTTGTTGTAAGTGTAAAATTAGATGCTACCCATAAAAGCACATAGAATGAGGCCTGGCATATACTGTTAGCAGCAATACAGGGAAAGTAAATCTTAAATGTTTAGAGATAAAGAAGTATTTTCTGGGCTGGGAAGGTGGCTCAGTGGTAGAGCGCTTGCCTTGCATGCTCGAAGCCCTGGGTTTGATTCCTCAGCACCACATAAGCAAAAAGAAAAAAGCCGGAAGTGGCGCTGTGGCTCAAGTGGTATCGCGCTAGCCTTGAGCTGAGGAGCTGAGGGACAGCGCCCAGGCCCAGAGTTCAAGCCCCACGACCGACCCCCCCCCCAAAATAAGTATTTTCTAAGACAAAAAAAACCCCACAGGATATATAAGGAGATCAAAAAGCTAAAACTCTAAAGAATCAATAACACAGGTAATAACTGGATAACAAAGTTAAACAGACATTGCTCAGAAGAAGTACACATGGCTAATAAATACTTGAAGAAATGTTTAACCTCCTTGGTCATAAAGAAAATGCAAATCAAAACAACATTAAGTTTCCATCTTACTCCAGTCAGATTAGCCATCATCAAGAATATGAACAAGCCAACTGGGCACCAGTGGCTCACACCTGTAATCCTAGCTACTTAGGAGGCTGAGATCTGAGGATCATGGTTCAAAGCCAGCCCAAGCAGGAAAAATCTGGGAGACTCTTATCTCCAATAAACCACTAGAAAACCAGAAGTGGCACTGTGGCTCAAGTGGCAGAGCACTCATCTTGAGCTGAATTGCTCAGGGATAGCATCAAGGCCCTGAATTCAAGCCCATGACTGACCAAAAAATTAAAAATTAAAAAAAAGCACTGGTGTTCACAACTGTAATCCTAGCTACTCAAGAAGCTAAGATCTGACAAGTGACGTTCAAAGCCAGCTCAGAAGGAAAGTCTGTGAGACTTTCATCTCCAATTAATCACAAAAAGCCTGAAGTAGAACTGTGGCTCAAGTGGTAGAGTTCTAGCCTTGAGTAGAAAAAGAGACAGAGGGCTGGGAAGGTGGCTCAGTGGTAGAGCGCTTGCCTTGCATGCATGAGGCCCTGGGTTCGATTCCTCAAAAAGAAAAAAGCCGGAAGTGGCGCTGTGGCTCAAGTGCTAGAGCGCTAGCCTTGAGCTGAAGAGCTGAGGGACAGCGCCCAGGCCCAGAGTTCAGGCCCCACAACTGGACTCCCCCCCCCAAAAAAAAAAGAAAGAGAGACAGAGACAAGACCTTGAGTTCAAGTCCCAGTACTGGCAACACATACATACATACATATGTATATTTTATTATATCACACAAATATATGTAAGAGCCGGGCGCTGGTGGCTCACGCCTGTAATCCTAGCTACTCAGGAGGCTGAGATCTGAGGATCGCGGTTCAAAGCCAGCCCGGGCATGTAAGACCGTGAGACTCCTATCTCCAATAAAACCACCAGAAAACCGGAAGTGGCGCTGTAGCTCAAGTGGTAGAGCGCTCGCCTTGAGCTGAAGAGCTGAGGGACAGCGCCCAGGCCCAGAGTTCAAGCCCCATGACCGACAAAAAAAAAAAATATATATATATATATATATGTAAGCTATGTATGTCTGGCACAGAGTAAATGCTCAGTAACCCTGTGAGGTTTTGTGCGGATTCAGTTAAATGATGTGAGTGCTCACTTGGTGTATAGTAGATGCTCAATAAATATCCTATGATGCCAGGTGTGTACTCTAGACGGCCAGTTCCTGCCCTGTTTCCTCTTTCTGGGTGAATTGCCAGATATGATTGAACTACTTGGAGAGGTGGGGACACAGAAAATGTCAGAGTCAGGGCGTGGCCAGGTGGTTGAGGGAAACAGGGAAAGGCACAAGAGGCCATGGGTGGAAAAAAAAATCATCATTTCACACGGATCACAGCCCTCCCTCCTCTGGGAGGCGTCAGGAGGGGACCACAGCATACATAATGGCAACTCTTCCTTCCCCTCCCACACAGGGCACCGCTTCATAGGTTTAGAGGATCTCACTGAGTTTATTTGGGGAAAGCAAAAGAGGGGGGAAGGAAGTTCCACTTGCTGGAGCACACACACACAGAAGCACTGCGGCTCAGATGTTGACACCATCAGTTTAGGCTCACCAGATCTCAGAGTCAGGTATGAATCTTTAAAAATGAGGAAACACAGGCTATGGAGAAGAATTGGAAAAGGGGAGGGACCTACACCCCACCTATCAAATCCTGCCAACCTTTTCTTTCTCTCCACGCTCCCCTCCTCCCCAAGAGCCAGCATCCCATTGCCATTCCTGCTTATTTCCTTCCCTCTCTAGTTTACCTGTTCATCTGGGGTAGGTGTCACCTGTTACTCCAGGCCCCCATGTGACCCCCTCCTCCCCACGCTGGTTCTGGTCCGGTGGGATTATCCATGTTCTCATAAGAATCTGCATCTGGGTAGGGCCCGAAACCGGTAAGACATAGATAGGGCTGGATAGAGGCTGAGAGGGAAATCAGCCCAGAGGCTACCTAAGCACAAAGACAGAAGTACCCACCTTCCTCATGGTTAGGACCAGGCCGAAGCAAGCGGAGCTGGGGGGCTGCATACAGGATTCCTCTCATGTCCTCATAGGACTGTGACCCTGCTTGGGCTGGGGATAGAGAAGCTAGTCTGGGGACCTGGGGAAGGGGACTTCCACCTAGCATAAGGAAGAGGTCTGAGGATGTGGGAAGGTAGAGGCTTGCCTACCTATGTTGAACCAGAGGAGTGATTAGACCAGCACTGAACTGGGGTGTTGGTGAGTTGGAGAACCAGGGCCAGGTATGATTAGATGATAGCCAGGATCAGAGAAAGGGTCAAGAACAGAATTAGAAGTCAAAGACACAGTGGTGCTATGGCTCAAGTGGTAGAGCACTAGCCTTGAGCAAAAACAGCTCAGGGACAGTGCCCAGGCCTTGAGTTCAAGCCCAAGGACTGGCCAAAAAAAAAAAAAAAAAGAATCAAACCTAAAATCTGCACTGGAGACACTGAGATAAGAGGATTGCAAGTTCAAAGTCAGCCTGGGCAAAAGAGTGAGTTTCAGGCCAGCAAGACCCTGACTCAAAACAGAACAAAACCCACCAAAGAAATGAAAATTCAGGGTCAAGGTCTGGCTTGGGTTTGGGGTCAGAGTCATCAGTTCAAGGTGGGGCCTCGGGTCACAGGTGAGAGAAAGATCAAGCGGGTCCTAAGCATCTCTCACCAAGGGAAGTCGCATCTCTGCTGGGGTTCCAGGCAGACCCGTGGGGGCTCAGGAGGTCTGGAAGAGGAAGAGGGGAGTCACCATTCCTGCCGGACCAGCTGGCTTCATCAGGATTCTAACCTTACACCTACTTGCCGTCCTGGTGACTGGCTGGACCAGCTCTTCATCTGCATTCTCATAGGAATCGACTGTGGAAGAAGAATGGGAGCACTGGGAACCATTCGTGGCAGCTAGAGACCTCACAGAGACGCAGGTATCTCCTGGCCTTCCCCCCCACCCCGCAAGAGCCCCCAAATTACCATTGGAGAAGGAGTCCTCATCCTCAGGACCTAAGGGCTCCTCCTCAGGGTTCTCATAGCCGCTGCCATCTGGTGGATAAGGAGGAGTGTCCATGGGGGACCGGGGCCCTGCCCACAGCCGGGCAGGTGTGAAGACCCCTGGGGAGAGGGACAGTCTTACCCTGGGAGATCTGGTCCTGTCCCCCGAGGTTGGAGTCATTCTCATAGGCCTCCTCACTGTCTGGCTCCTCGTAGGCTTCCCCTTCCTCTTCTTCCAGTTCTGGGTTTGGGAGACAGAGTAGAGGAACTGAGTCACAGCACTCTTCCAGCCCAAGTCCAATCCTTCTACTACACACCCTCCAAGTGAGGAACTGTCCCCTCATTTACCCGCTTCAGGGAGGTTTCGGGACTCCCTGGTACCAGCCTCCTGAGTGTCACTGCTGGGGTTTCCATAAGATCCGGTGACGCCCCCCAGGCTTGCGGCCCAACGCTGGACGCGTCCTGGCAAGAGCAGTGTTGGAAAGGGGTATCAGATGGCGCTGTGGGTCAAGTGGTAGAGCGCTAGCCTTGAGAAGAAGAAGAGCTGAGGGACAGCGCCTAGGCCCCAAAATTCAAGGAGAGAGAGAGAGGGAGAAAGAGAAGGAGAGATGGGTAGGGATGCTCTGGGTTTGGAATACCTGGTCCTGAACCTTTAAGGGGTGTCAGATCGAAATCTGGGGCTTTATTCTCAAATTATGTGCCCCACCTGAAGTTAAGGCTCTGAGTGCTGGGGGCGGGGCTACGAGGCCAAGGGCAAAACTTGTTCTAGGAGCGGAGCCACGCCGGGTCTCCAATCAGGGGATTGGAGCTGGTCTCCAATCAGGGGATTGGAGCTGGTCTCCAATCAGGGGATTGGCGGGATGAGCTTAATAGGCGGAGCTCTAATGCAGGGGCGGAGCTACAGGCTGGACGGGCTGGCTTGGGTAGGAGGCCTCAGGAAACATCTTACCTGGGCCAGAGCCTAGAGTGGGAAGGGACAGCACGTTCCCATACTGATTCTGAGTCCCATTTCCCGGGGGAGGTGTCACTTTGTAGAATCTGGCGGGAGAAAGGAAGGTGCACTGTGAGGCTAGAGTTAGAAAGGACTCGGGGACACACTCAAGATTGAGTCTTGCCCCCAGAGGTTAGTTGTCAAGGTGACCAGATCTGTGATGCAGTGGCCTCCAGAGAAGAAAATGGGATCACTCCAAGGACATCTTAGCAGAGAAAGTGAACTTTGGAACTAGGCTTTGACGGTGGGCAGGATTTCCAGCCCACCCCCAAAAAACCACCTGGTAAGGAAATTGTAAGTGCAGAGCATGTAGGGAGGGACGGGTTGGGGTGCCCTGAGGCATTACCTACCTCCTGGTGGGGTCAGTCATTCGTTTTATCTTCCTTCTCTGGATCAGGACTGCAGAGATTAAAGAGTGATCAGCAGAGGCCCTTGCTGACAGGGGAAGGGTTTGAGAGGTGCTAGGGAGAGTGCTTGATCAATGGAGATGGCCAACTGGAGCCCAAGCAGTTGGGAAGTTTGAGGGGCATGAGATGAGTTAAGGGACAGGGTGTGGGACATGCAAAGAGGAATGAAAGGGTAGAAAATGGTTGCGAGACCGGCCAATGTGGGCTTATCCTAAGGAAGTAGAGTAGGATTTGGGCAAACTCATGACTCACCTCTTTGAAGATGAAGAAAAGCCACCAGAGAACTCAGGCACATAAAGAGATAAACCAGAGTCACAACTGGAACTATCCAGCCACCTGACTTCAGCATCCAGCGCCATACTGCTAAGGAGAAGTTGTCATGAGACCAATTCTCAGGCTGCATCCTACTCAACCTCAAGAACTCAAGAGAAGCTGGTGCTGGTGCTTGTAATCCTAACTACTCGGGAAGCTGAGATCTGAGACTCAAGGCTCCAAAACACCTGGCAGCCGGGCGCTGGTGGCTCACGCCTGTCATCCTAGCTACTCAGGAGGCTGAGATGTGAGGATCACAGTTCAAAGCCAGCCCAGGCAGGAAAGTCCCTGAGACTCTTAATCTCCAATAAACCACTCAGAAAACCAGAAGTGGCACTGTGGGTCAAGTGGTAGAGCACTAGCCTTGAGCTGAAGAGCTGAGGGACAGAATCCAGGCCCAGAGTTCAAGTCCCATGACCCAAAACAAAACAAACAAAGCAATCTGGCAGACAACTCTCAGACTCTTGTCTCCAATTAATGGAAGTGGAACTCTGGCCACGAGCAAAAGGCAAGCAAGAGCAGGAGGCCCTGAGTTGAAACCTCAGTACCAGCAAAAGCAGGGGGGAGGGAGAGAGAGAGAGAGAGAGACAGAGAGGGGGGGCAGGGGTATAAAGAGGATTCAGGGCTCCAACAGTGAGGAGAAAGAGAGGAAGACCACACCAAAGCTGGCAGGAAGTAACATCCAATGGCAGGAAAGGACACAGAAAAATGGGTTCTCAGAAGCAAGGAGAAAAGAGTTGGAGTCTGTGTTCAGTGTAACAGTTAGGAGCTGGGGGGAAAGGGGGGGTACTCCTCAGGCTGATCCCTGTGAATCACATCAAAAAGCATCCAGTTCCTCTAGTGCCCCACACAGATGGCTCACAATACAGACAAACTCTACCTGGCTGGGCTGTGACCTTCAGGTGCATCTGCTTGGTCAGGCTGCCACAAAGACAATAATAAGTACCAGCATCTTTAGCTGTGACCTGGGGAAGCACAAGATGAGGCCCCCGGAGCCATAGGTCTCTGGTGGGGGGATGTTCCCCCAGGCTTAGGTTCAGCAATGGGATGTTAGACTTCTCAGGGCGTACATAGGTCCAGGAGACAGGGGCTCTGGCTACAGGGGCAGGGGGAACTCCACAGGATAGCAAGAGTGTAGAGCCAGGGGCCACAGTGAAGTCTGGGGGCAGGAAAGAAACAAGGGAAAGGGAATGTCAGACTTGGGGTGTCTTTCCCCTAAACCCTCAATTTCCTGTCACCATCCCTCCTTCCTCATTTCCACTTCTTGGCAGATCTCCAGCTGTCACCTTACCTCGGTTGAAGCTCTGGTTCCGTGTGCCCCTTGGTGGGTCACACACAGGCTCTGTCCTCCAGATCTTGGCATGGTCTTCTGCCCACACATACAGCAAGGAACTGATGGGTTGATCAGAAGAGAGTCTGGGGTCCCCTGAGGACCTGTTCTCTAGGCCACAGCCTAGATCACCGAAGTCTGAAGCATTCCAACGGAACAGCTCCCCTGAGAAGAGACCCAGAACCACAAAGAGAGAAGGAAAGAGATAAGACACCCAGAAAGGCAGAGAAAATGGGCTGGGAAGGTGGCTCAGTGGTAGAGTGCTTGCCTCGCATGCATGAGTACCTGGGTTCGATTCCTCAGCACCACATAAGCAGAAAAAGCTGCAAGTGGTGCTGTGGCTCAAGTGGTAGAGTGCTAAGCCTTGAGCTAAAGAGCTGAGGGACAGCACCCAGGCCCAGAGTTCAAGCCCCACAATGGGCCAAAAAAAAAAAAAAGGCAGAGAAAAATCGAGACCAGAGACTCAAAGCAAAAGAGATATAAGAACTTGAGTCAGGATGTTCCAGGAGTCTGTTACTTAGGGCCAACTCCTTGCTGGTACTTTGCCCCCTTCCACCCCTCCATTTGGCCATTGGACCATGGTAGGTCCTGTCATCCCAACCAGTGACCAGGCCCAGCCCAGCCCAGCCCTCACCGCTGCCATTCACGCTCACGGTCCAGCCAGGCTGCCAGCTGTCCTGGGATGGAGGGCCTGACTTGCACAGGTAGAAGCCTCCCATCTTCTCTGAGATGTTGAAGATGTGAAGCAAGGTGCTCGCAGGCCCCACCCAGATGCCCAGGCCTGGTAACCTCAGGCTCAGCTCTAAGAAGGGTATAGACTCGTTCCCCCGATACCAGGCCAGCTGCTCAAAGTGGGTGTCTGGGGGACTCTGGAAACAGGGCAGCACAGCATCGTCTCCCTCTGTAGGGAGAGAGAGAGGGAAAGAGAGAGAGAGAGAGGCCACAGGCCCCTCCCTTCTTATAAATCAAAGACCCCACCAGGAAAGAGTATATGATCCCGGAGTCCTTCTCTGAACTTTACAAATGGAGGCGCAGAGACTGCAAGCTACTCAGCGAAAGCCACCCAGAACCAACCCAGGTTTCCAGCCCCGACTCCTTCCCCTTCGGTTTTTTGAACATACCTTCCACCTCCACCAGCACTGGTTTCTGGGGCCTGATTCCTGAGAGGGTGAGGAGAAGGAGGAAGGAGAGGAGGAGAGGCCGTGGCATGGTGGCCAGGCTCCCCGGGGCTCTGGCTTCCCTGCGCAGGGGATGCTGGGGCCGGCAGGGACCTTGGTGGGCAGTGAACCATGGGTGACTGTGGGGGTGGCAGGGCCGTCCCCCAGCAAGAAAGGAGATGTCACACCCTAGGCCTCCTTCTCCAGATACCCCCTCCAGACCCACTAAGCTTGCCTCTGCCCCACGACACAGTTTTATTTTCATACCAGCACTTATCCCCTGTGGAATATATGACTGCTTCCCTGTTAGCAAGGAGCCCTGGGGCAGAGGGGACGGCGGGCCCCTCAGTGTTCACAGGGCTCAGTGTGTAGCAAGGGTTTTGTTTGTTTGTGGTGCAAGTACTGATGCTTGAATTCAGGTTCAGGGTATTGGTCCCTCCATTTCCATCTTGGTGGTAGTTAATTGGAGATAAAGAGTTTCACAGGGGTTGGAGGCCTAGTTCAGGTGGTAGGGTACCAGCCAATGAACAAAAGTGTGAGATACCAAATTTGAGTTCTGGTCTCATATTTAAAAGAGAGAGGGGGGAGAGAGAATTTCAAGGACTTTCCTGACAAACCTGGATCCTCAAGCCAGGAGCTGGTAGCTCATGCCTGTAATCTTAGCTACTCAGAAGGCTGAGATCTGAGGATCTGCAAGACTCTTATTTCCAATTAACTACAGAAGTGGCGCTGTGGCTCAAGAGGTAGAGTGATAGCATTGAGCAAAAGCAGCTCAGGGACAGTGCCGAGTTCAAGCCCCAGAACCCGCAAAGCAAAACAAAAGCTTTGATCCTCATATCTCAGCCTTCGATAGGTATGAGCCAAAGGTGTGTGGCTACATGGGATTTTTAGTCTAGCACCCAGCACATAGTAGACCATCAGTTAATGTTTAAGAGCTCAAGTCAGCCTGCCTGGGTTTAAAACCCTGAATGAGCTTCTTTATCAACTAAAGGTGATAGGAGAACCCGAATATTATTCTGGAGATAAACCAGATTGTTCTGGGAGGGGTAGGCAGGTGTTTAAGAAGGCAAGAACAACTCTCCCTCTTTTGCAGTGGTCATTAGAAATGACTAATGAGGGCTGGGAAGGTGGCTCAGTGGTAGAGTGCTTGCCTTGCATGCATGAGGCCCTGGGTTCGATTCCTCAGCACCACATAAGCAGAAAAATAAAAAGCCGGAAGTGGCGCTGTGGCTCAAGTGGTAGAGCGCTCACCTTGAGCTGAAGAGCTGAGGGACAGCGCCCAGGCCCAGAGTTCAAGC